CTCTTCTAATTCACTTTGTTCTAGAATGATTTGTGTAAATCCAGAAATCACTGATTAATATAAAGGTAATGTTATTGAATATGGAGCAGCAGCCAGATTGATATAGAAAAATAGATGGAACTTAAAGTAAAATTAGTAAGTGCATTCTTTTTATAAAGCCTTTCATATTTGCCAATGATGGATCGCAAACTTTTAATGGGCCTTTAGCTATTTCAAAGAAAGAGTCAAAATCAGTTAATTATCATATTCACAAGTCAATTGTACAAAAAAGGTTTAATGTTTCCTGGTACTGACAGTCAGGAGAGGAAGTTCCTCTCTGAGTTCCTAAGTTTTAGACAAATGCATATGTTCTGAATTACATTGGCCCCAGATAATATAAAGCAAGATTTATTATGGAACCTTTGAATGCAGACCTGTGGGATAACACTTAAGAGGAGCTTGGTAAGAAGTATAACATTCTGCTTGTCTAAGTAAATCGAGAGGTGTTTTAGAATATTTAAATCAATGAACTACATCCCATTCACCAGTTCTTCATGAATGCTGTTTTGCTCATCTGAGCTTTTGAAATCTATTAACAAGAAACTGATTTTCAGTAAAATTCTTTGTCAGGTAAAATAGTTATTCTGTGTTGCTAGTTAATAGTTGAGACATAGCTTGAAAGCCAAGATTATGACTGTCACTCTATAGGAAAAGGGTTTCTATAAATCTACCCCTTTGCAGTTGAATGAAGGAGCACTCATGGGCTATGATGTGCTTGCCTCAAGAGTTTGTTTTGCAGTCCTTTCCAATGAAAAGGGATTGTGGTTATCACTTTAAAGGTCTACCTTCTAAGTCTTAGCCTCAATATTTTTGGTCTGGAGAAAGTTTAAAGCTGATATAAAATGTAGTTCTTACCTTGAATAATAAAGAAAAATGCTTTGTAAAATACATTTGAATACTTAAATTTAAGAAAAAAATGCAATGACATTTCCTCTAAGACAAGCTGGTTTTAAAATATGCATCTCAGTTACTGAATAAGTTAACCAGATAGAGTTCTTTTATGACAATTAAGAAAAAAAAGGGTTGTTTTGTTAGTTGTCTTCTAAAAATAACGTATTTTGTTTTCAAAATGTTGATCTATAAGAAATGTAGATCAACAGAACTTTTGATCTATAAAACTTTTTTTAAGCAGTAATTGCACAACATATCCAGTTGTTCAATATGGTCACTCCATGTTGTTGAGGAGAAAGCAATAGTATCTCATATAATCCTCCCATTTTCTGTTCTCTATGGTAATAGTTTATGTAGCCAGCTTACTAACAATAGTGTCAAATCATTAAAATGCCATAATAGTAGAAGTATGGATTCAGAATAAATTATTTAAATTCTTCTACTAAAATTGTCACCTGGTCCATCAAAATATACTTTTACAAACTTTGATTATGAAAACAATAGTAAAATTCAAGTTCTATATAAGCATCCATATCTGTGGCATATACCGAGGCTTTGAAGTGGCGGAGGTGAATTCCAAAGAATGGTAGGCCCAAATAGGTCAGAAGTCACATAATATCCTATATGATTTCTAAGCGATATCTTCAGATGATGAGAATATATAGCATTTTCAGTACTCGGAACAAGACAGAAAATGTATGTCAGGGCTGCATTGTTCCCAGTGTGGCCTATTGGCCTTCTAATGGATTAAATGGAAACTGACCCATTTCGGTGCATGTTTGATCCAGAGGGCTGCCACAGGATGAGGGCTGGTTTCCATTTATAAAAAATGAGAATGTCTCTTTCCAGGTCTGTTAAAATGGGATCAAAATCACAAAAGTAAAGACAGCAAATATATCAGAATCATTAATATAACTATTAACTATGTGCATGTGAAGGTGTCTCCTGACATCTGATATTTTATGAAAAGGTTTGTATGTAAAAAGTCCAGATGACGCTTTGCTTTTTTCTTGACTAACCTGACTCAGAACTTGTTAACTTACTGACTGGGGGAGAGGGTGTCCAACAGTCTGCCTTTTTTTCCCCCCCTACTATAGCTCTTGATGAGATAAACAACCAAAAATCCCAAACAGAAGCAAGTTGCTATCTACAAACCAAATCTGATAAATTTACATAATATAAAATTTGTATATTGTTTTTGAGACTTCACCAAGAAATATCTATAAAATAAATTATATTGAGACTATAGAGGCCTGTTGCATGAAAAGATTTGTGCAATAGGCCTTCCCTTCCCCTGGCTGCCGGCATCAGTTTTCCTCCGGCACCAGGGACCCAGGCCTTCGCTCCGGCCGGAGCCGCCTTCAGTCTTCGCTCCGCTGCTACGCACCTATGTATGCAAATTAACTGCCAACTTTGTTATCCGTTAATTTGCATATCTCGCTGATTAGCCAATGGGAGGCGTAGCGAAGGTACGGCCAATTACCATGTTTGTCTATTATTAGATAGGATGTACACTTAAGGGATATTCCTAGGAAAGTTTTTAAAAAGTTTTTTTAATAGAAATTTTCTAATATCTGCAATGTAAGTACAATAACATAATAGATAAATCCCAACTGCCACCCATCAAAACAACCAGTGTTCTGATTACTTAGGGACAAGTACTTAAATGTCCAGACCCTGGTTTGGAGAAAGAGAGGTGGCTGCAAAGATTATGAAGCAAAGTAATCCTTCAAATTCCTCTATTTATTATTTGCCCTCAACTTTTGCTAGCCATTACACCAATGCATGATATATAACATGCTTATTTTGAAAAATATAAAAAAGAAGAAATACATATTTTAAAATAGTAAAGGTAAAATGTGAGCTTGAGAAAAGAGGTGTGAGAGAGAGGGAAGGAAGGGAGAAAGAAAAGAAGCAACAGATGAAGGGGGAGGGATTAAGGGAGAAAGAGGAAGCAAAAGAGAAAAGAAGATAAGGAAAGAAAGAAAGAAGAAATGAAAGGAGAAAGGTACATGTGCAGAGTAAGTCTCAATATTCCAATATTCGGTCTTTACCGTTGGTTATCGCTCATTGGATATCACTGGTGTCCATGTATCTGGTGTCTGCTCTACCCTTGCTCCAAAAACTATGGTCCATGAGCCAGCAGCAGATTGTCAGGCTCCACATCACAACATATTTGGTCCAAATCTGCATATTCAAAAGATATACAGTGCTTAATAAGCACATTCCAACTTCAGAAATATTGCTCTAGATCACAATGTCCAGTAGTGGCATGACACAGGAGAAAAAAATCCTATCTAATAATAGACAAACACCTCCCATTGGCTAATCAGCGAGATATGCAAATTAACTGCCAACAAAGATGACGGTTAATTTGCATACGTAGGTGCAAAGCGGCAGAGCGAAGACTGAAGGTGGCTCTGCCCGGAGCGAAGGCCTGGGTCCCGGGTGCCGGAGGAAAACCGGTGTCAGCAGCCAGGGGGAGGGAAGGCCTATTGCACGAATCTTTTCATGCAACAGGCCTCTAGTACAATTATAAAACAGACAGAACATGAAACAAAAATACACAGGGAATCAACAAATTAACTATGAGACAAAGAAAATTTCTGTTTATCTATAACTGTGTGATACATCACTTATCTTATAAAGCTAGAAAGTGAAAAATAAAATAAATTTTAAGTACTATATTGTGTCTGTTTGCTTCAGAAGGAAGTGGTCAGCATAAAATATGGGAAAGATAGTATGCTTTGCTCTTTGAAATGCATTTTCCCTGTTCATTTTATGCCTACTAGTAACCTAATAAGCTGTCATGTAAGCTAATATTAAAAGCAACAAATTATACTTTTGTTTATTTTATTTAATGATACTCATTAAAATTTTATGTTACATACAATTGCTATCAGATTTTATGTGGCCAATTAATGTTACATTAAATTATGCTTTTGTACAAGGTACCGAAATAGCTAAATGAAGCAGATGTGTTCTTCTTAAAAATGCAGCTGATATTATATTAAACAATTAGCACCAATATTTTGGAATAATACGTTAGATGTCTATAACAATTATAAAATTGGTTTCCACCCTAGCTGGTGTGGCTCAGTTGGTTGGAGCATAGTCTTGCACACCAAAAGTACTGATGGGGTGGTCATAATAATCTGGCCACTGAGTGTATATATATATTCCAAATATTCAGGTGACTACCTTATTTTCTTTACCAAAGATGGAAAGTTTCTCATGTTAGGTATTCTTTAGCAATTATGTCCACCTCACATCGCTCATTTTAAAATCTTAGCTCAAATAGTAGATTGTACTTTCTTTTAGGCTTAACTAGGTAGTTGTGAAACTGCTCTTCCCAAATATGCTTGTGGCTCAGAGAATTAAGATTATTCTTTCATAAAATTGAAATCTGCCCAGCTGACACGGCTCAGTGGTTGAGCATCGACCCATAAACCAGGAGGTCTCGGTTTGATTCCCTTTCAAGGCACTTGCCCGGGGTTGCGGACTCAACCTGCAGTATGGGGCATGCAGGAGGCAGCAGGTCAATGATTCTCGCTCATCATTGATGTTTTTTTCTCTCTCTCCCTCTCCCTTCCTCTCTGAAATCAATAAAAATATATTTACTTAAAAATATAAAATAAAATTGAAATCTAAAGAAGGGAGATTAATAATGTAAAATGGCCTGATTTTTCAAGGGGAGTATAAAAAGTATCTCTCACTAAGGAATAAAAGTATTTTGTCTTGCCCTATTCTTTCTGCATTCAACTTTTAAAATTGATTTTTGTCAAGTAGTGTATTTTTATTTTCATAAATTCAAATGGATTAAATGTTAAACTAACAAATATTTGCTTTTAAAAGTTGATAAATATAGGAAGAAGGTGCATCCACTAAGAGTTTTGAGTAAATGGGACAGCGTTTTTCCTCAACTATATTTAAGATTTTATTAGAATGGTATCTTAACCTTAGTCCTTCATTTTGATTTCTAATTCATTAAAATCGCCCTCTTCTTAAATGGAATGTTACATATTGAAGGAGACTGTCACAGAAAGTTTTAATTTATATTTTATTTTCAGATGTAAAATATTTAAAAGAAGAGGATGCAAATCGCAAGACTTTCACTGTCAGCAGCACACTGGATTTCCGAGTGGACAGGAGCGACGACGGTGTGGCGGTTATCTGCAGAGTCGACCATGAATCCCTCAATGCCACTCCTCAGGTAGCGATGCAGGTGCTAGAAATACACTGTAAGTAAAAGCTCTTTCCTCCCCATTTATATCGGCAGCAAATATGCTCATCTACATTTAAAATCATTTCAAAATTAGGTAAAGTTACAGGATATGTACAGCAAAATGCAGTAAAAGTACCCTCAATAGCATTAATCATGTTCAAAGGAAAGAAGTTCTTAGCTGAGTATCATTACAGTCAAGGAATAAAAATAAAGGTGGCATCAAAAGGTTAAAACTCCTCATTACCTTCCAAATAGTGAGTGGCTTGATGTCTGTGTGTGCATCTGAGTAGGGGAGGAGGAGTGGTAATTTTGGCAGAATCAGAGAGTTGGGAATCTGAAAAGGGCATTGATGAGCTTTATTGTATGTAAGTAACTGTTGCATGCAAATGTGGCTTTCTATCTGTGATTTTAAAATTAGACTCGTTTCTTTTACTTTCTCTATGAAATATACTGTCTATATGACTGCAAGAATATATCTACCATGTTTTCTTTATAAAAAGCATTATTATTTACAAGTGATAAGAAAAAATTAATTTGATGACACCAATAGTTCAGAGGCAGTGCTAAATGTTTTGCTGGCATCATCTCATCTCATGTTATCTGTAAGGGCATCAGTTACTCTAACTTTAGTCACAATTGACAGATGAAGACACCAAAGATTATACAGGTTGAGTCACTTGGCCAAGTTCACACAACTAACAAATAGTGAACTTGTAATCATAACATTTTAGTTGTTGGCAAGGTCCTTGGGAGAGGTGATCTATAAATATTTATCAAAATGAAATTAAATGAATTGAAATAAGTAAGATAATGTGGGAAAGAAAAAGAAGAGAACACAGAATGTTGTATTTCTGAATTGGATTACTTGATTTTTAAATATTAGAGATTTTTGTTTGCTTTTATCTATTAAAGTTATAGATTGAATGTAGAAGTGAGATGTAAAATTACATTAAATACTAACATTTTAAATATAAGTACTGGTCTTGTAATATGTCTCAAGTTTTGTTTTCACTTACTTATTTATTCAACAAGAAGTTTTTGAGTGCCTACTGTGTAACAGATATTGTTTGGACACTGGGGTTGCATTAGTGGTCAAAAAGAACAACAAAACAAATCAAGATTGTCCCCAAGCGTCAAAATCACCATCACCACTAACAGCAACAAACTTTTACAGCATCTGTTCTAGGTAGGAATGACAGAAAAGCAAAATAAATGAATACAACATATATTATGTTATGTAGTAATGTATATGGGAAAAAATAAACCAGGGGTGGTGATAAGGAGTTCAATTGGAGAGGTGGGAATGGAAGTCAAGGAAAGTGTGTGTGTGTGTGTGTGTGTGTGTGTGTGTGTGTGTGCTGTATATATACATATGTGTAATATTGTATATACACATACACACACAGAGAGGGGAAAGCAAGTATAAAGACCATGAGATAGGAGCATCCCTTTATTTTTTATGTTTCTGTAAACAGCAAAAAATATCTGTGAAACTGGGGTAGAGTGAACTATGGGAAAAAAGAGAGAATATTATGAGAAAATTTCAAAGTACCAGGGAACCAGACTTTTAAAAATTATTCTTGATAGAAAAAATGTTAATCTGATTATGATTTTTAATTATTGCCCATCATGGTTTAAGTATTCTTAATTTACTTGCTGTTGAAATTATTATAATTTTAAATACTTTAATTATATTACATTAGTTTTATTAATTTTCTTCCTGTTCTCATTGAAACATGTTCAGAAGCAAGCACATTTCATACCTCAACCTGTGGTTATCTCCAAATTTCAAAATTTATTTGCAGTGAGACCTTGGGACAATTATTGAAAATACTTAAGGTTTGAATATAAGCTAGAGAATTAATTTCCATGAGGAGCAAGCTAGACAAATTAAGTCAAGTTTATGACATTAAATAAAAATTCAACATATGTAAATTTAAGCCCCTTTAGCAAAATAGCATAGACTGGGTGGGTTCTAAACAACAGAATGTATTTCTTTTTTATTTTTTTAAATATATTTTTATTGATTTCAGAGAGGAAGGGTGAGGGAGAGAGAGATAGAACCATCAATGATGAGAGAGAATTATTGATTTGCTGCCTCCTGCATGCCCTCTACTGAGGGTCGAACCCACAACCCGGGCATATGACCTTGACCAGAATCAAATCCTGACCTTTCAGTCCACAGGCCGAGGCTCTATCCATTGAGCCAAACCAGCTAGGGTCAGAAATGTATTTCTTACTGTTCTACGTGCTGGAAATATAAGATCAAGGTTCAGGCACATTCAGTACCTGGTGAGGGCCTGCTTCCTGGTACATAGAGGGCTGTCTTCTCTCTCTGTCCACACTTGGCAGAAGGGGCTAAAGGAGCCCTCTAGGCTCTTTTTTTTATAAGGGCACTAATTTCAGGCATGACCTTCAAAAGGCCCCACTCCCTAATATCACATTGGGAATTAATTTTTAATATATGCATTGCGGGGGGAGAGGGGGGCACAAAAATGTTTAGTCCATAGGCTCTTTCCTTTTCTCTTTTTCTTATTTCATCAACATGTCTTTTAAAATATAAAAAGTTATATACCAGGTGTACTGGTTAATAATGCAGATTTTGTAATCAAAGAAAACATGATTTCAAGAGAAACATCAAATGTGCTTTATTCAATGTAATGTCCATCGCTAGCTACACATTTCCCATCTTTCAGGTAATTTGTGGATACTGTTTTAATAGTACTTTTCTTGTTTTGAGGCAAACCATTCAGAGCCCAATTTTTCACTGCTTTGTATGCTTTGAAGTGCTGCTCAGAAAGTGCATGTGCCATCGATCAGAACAAGTGGTAATCTGAAGGAGCAAGATCTGGTGAATACAGTGGGTGGGTTAATACTTGTCAGGCAAGATCTTTTAATGTGTCTTTAACTGGTTTTGAAGTGTGTGATGGTGTGTCATCATGAAGCAAAATTACTTTTCTGTGTCTTCTGGCACATTCTGGTCATTTCACAATTGGTTCAAATTTATTCTTTGTTGTCAGTAGCGATCAGTATTAATGATTTCAGCTGGTTTTAGAAGCTCATAATGCACCACACCTTCCTGATCCCACCAAACGCAAAGCATTGTCTTCTTTCTGAAGCAATTTGGCCTTGCAGTCAATGTTGATGGTTGACTTGGATCAACCATGATTTTGTGCATTTGGGATTCTCAAAATAAATACACTTTTCATCACCAGTCACAATTTGATGCAAAAAAAAGACTTTCCTTTGTGCCGTTGAAGCAACATTTTACTAATGACTTTTTGGTTTTCCATTTGTCTTTCGTTCAGTTGACATGGCACCCATTTTTCTTTCTTTAAAATTTTTCCCATTGCTTGCAAATGATTAGAAATCATTTGCTGAGCAACATTTAATCTTTCTGCAAGTTGTTTTTGAGTTTGACAGGCATCTTCATCCAATAATGCTTGCAATTGTTGGTCTTCAAACTTTTTCGGTTGACCTGGACGTTCTTTGTCTTTCACATCGAAATCATCACTTTTAAAACATTTAAACCAGTGTTCACAAGTATCTTGAGATGCAGCATGTTCACCATAAGCTTCCCAAAGTATTCAGCAGCACTTTTCTTCAAAATAAAATAATTAATGATAACTTCCTGCAAATGCTCTTTTTTTGGCACAAAATTCGACATTTTTAAGTGTAAAAATATCTATGATGTTAACATCTTCAGCAAATTTGACATATGAAGTTTTGAAGCTTTTTGTCAATACAACAAAATAGCATACCTATCAAATTGCATATATATCAACATATATCAACTCCATCTAGTGAAAAAAAATCCGCATTATTAACTGGTACACCTAGTAATTTGATATACTGAGAGGATACAGATCATCAGCATCTTAAATATTTTTTCACTTACATATCAAGCCATATTGGACTGTTTAGAATAATATTTACTCATTTAGCTGTAATTTTCAGCATATAAAATAAAATGATAAAAATTGGGTCATAAGGCATGTTGGAGACTGCCAGCCAAAGATCATTGGACATCTACCAAATCAGGCTTATTTAGTGGCTACGGAAAAGAAGAAGGCTTACCAGACATCTCTGAGTGCATGGTAAGAGCTAGGAGAGGCTTTATAACTAGAATTAGGAGAGGATTGTCCTGAATATTTTAAAAAGGGTTTGGAGTTGGCTGCTGTCAGGATTGGGAGAAATCTAGTAATAAATATGTTGGTAACTTTTACCTAGAAAGCAAAAATATTAAAGCAGAATTAGATTTGCTATTATAAAGATGCAATAGTTAATATGCCATTTTTTATAGTTGCTGAATGCCCTGAGCTATATCTTGTTTCAGATCTGGTCATGGAATAGACTTGCCGTTGGCTTATTCCACTCCATAGTCACAGAATGGCTTCATCTGATTATTGTTTAGATTCTTGAGAATTGTTTATATTTGTTGAAAATATTTCAACTTAGCTATCAGATGCCAATTGTCAGCTGCCAGGCATTTTCACTTTCTTGGGAATAAAACATGGAACTATTATACACTTCCTAGGCATTTTTAGCTGTTCACCATATTTTAGTATGCATTATTAATCAGACTTTATGGAGGAAGCCAATTGAATTGCCTAATTTTTTAGAACACTTTATGTGAAAAATGTTATACTTGCTGGCCAATTAAAAATAACAACTCATTCTATCATGATTTAATATGTAAGTGCTAGAAGGCAGAGACCAGATCTATTTAATTTTTTCCGCCTAGCATTTAGCATACCATCATTCGATATGTGAAGTTAATTACAACTAACTGATAATAATGCTATATATTCCTTTAGTGGTGCAGAATATTTCCCATAGATGAAATGGGAGGAGAGTGGGAAGGGGACATTTATCAATGGTCTGCATCAAAATTAGAGGAAATCGGGTATCCTATATAATAAGAGCTAATATGCAAATGGTTGTCACACACTCATGCCATCACAATCCATCACCAGGAGGCTGCGTGCACAGCAGGAGCACATGGGTGGGTGGGGC